CCGGGGTCTGGGCCCTGCTGCCCTCCCCTTGCCTCTTCAGGTCCCGCGATTTACGACCGGGTGGCTAGGTGGCTGGGGACAGACACCATCGTCAAGGATGGGGAGGGAGAGGACCCCTGAGGCTGGTGGCGCAGAGCATGTCGGGGTCTCAGAGGCCCGTGTGCCGCCTTGGAAAGAACCCAGGGCGGCTGTTTCGTTGGCTGCCCTCCCAGTCCGCGTCCTCCTGCCCGGTCCCCTGCTGAGCCAGCTGGAGGAGGGGGTGGGAGATGTGAGGGATCAGGGCCCCCACCGCCTCCTGACCGTGTGTGGGCTGTGAGGAGCCCTTCGGCCACCTGGGGGCCAGGGAGGGTGGGCTGGGGAGGGGAGGCCCGTTTGCTGAGCAGTGATGGCATGGGGGAAGGAAGCAAACTCCGGGGGTAGGACAGGGGAGGTGGAGGCGGTCCAGAGGGGAGCAGGGGAGGAGCGAGGGACAGAGCACAGGGGCCGTCCTGGGGCTCTAGCCTGCGGCTGCGGTCGGGGCGGCCGCCCGGCTTTGCTCACCACTGCGAAGCCCCCCGTGGCTGGACAGTTGCAGGGCCCTCTCGGGGCAGTTCCAGCGGTCCCAGGCGAACTGGTACTTGCATTCTTCGATGCCGCTCTGGGCGCCCGCCGCCACGCTGCTGGAGTAGATGAGGTAGGCCTGCGGGGACACGGGCGCCGTGGGGCCAGGACTCGCCAGCATCACCCTAGCCGGGCAGAGCGCCTCCCTTGCTGCCCATACTCCCATCCCTCCAAAGTCGTGACCGAGAAAGCACTTTAAATGGCTGTCTTTGCCAGGTGCTGTGGCTCACACCTGTCATCCCAGCACTTTGGGAGGTCGAGGCAGGAGGGTTGTGTGAGCCCAGGAGTTTCAGACCAACCTGAACAACATAGCGAGACCTCATCTTTACAAAAAAAAATTGTTTTTTGTTTTTTTGAGTTGGAGTCTCACTCCATCACCCAGACTGCAGTGCAGTGGCCTTCCTTGTCTTGACTCTGTGTGGCTTTGGGTGTGACCCTAACCCTCTCTGGGCCCCAGTTTCTTTATTTGTAATTTACACCGCGCAATAAAAGACGTCGGTATCATGAGACTATACATAGTCTTCGGTTAACAAAGCAAGATTGGTGAAATCCAAACAGATGAAGGGAATTTTCTCTTACCTTTGGACCAGTCATCAGGAAATTGTTCACGGACCTAGAAGAAGAAAAAGAAAACCACAGAATGTGATGGAGGCCACCAGCTTACCTTCACTCCCCAGAGCCGGAGGGTCACTTCAGCCAGACGGTTGGCAGGAGGAAAGGGAAGCCAGTTTTTATCACAAACCTACTCAAGATAACTCATTTCGTAAAAACCAACCTGAATAAAAGTGTTATGATTTCCTTGGATTTGTAAAATTTTCAGTACGGCCAAATGTTTCTCACGCCTGTCATCCCACTGCTTTGGGAGGCCAAGGTGGGAGGATCTTTTGAGACCAGCCTGGGCAACATAGCAAAACCTCGTCTCTACCAAAAAAA